TGTTTGGGTCTTTTATCCATTTTTAATAGGGTTATCTGAGTTATTTTAGTTTCTAATATATTTTGCGTATTAACCCCTTATCTGATTTACCATTTGAAAACATATTCCCCCACTCTAAAGATTTTCTCTTCACTCTGTTGTTTCCTTTGCTGTGCAGAAGCTTTTATTTTGAGATAATCACATTTGTCTATTTTCCTTTTCATTATCTCTCCTTTTGTGGTCATACCCAAAATATCATTGCCTATGTCAGTGTCATGAATTTAATTTGCCAGAATTCTGTTGAAAGTTTTGTGGTTTCATTGTCTGGTTTTGGTACCAGAGTAATGCTGACCTTGGAAAAATGAGTTAGGAAGTGTTTCATCCTCTTAAATTTTTTGGAAGCATTTGATAAAGATTTATATTAGCTCTTTAAATGATTGGTAGAATCCTCCAGGAAAGTCATTGTTTCTGATTATGTACTGTGAGAAGAGGAACAAATATGATTAAGGAAGTCACATGGGAGCTGTGTTATTTACTTTTCTCTCGTTGCTGAGACAAAATACCTGACACCCAAAAGGGTTGGAGGGGGAAGAGATTTTTTTGGCTTATTGTTAGTAAAAGTTTCCGTCCATAATCTGCTGACTCCAAGGCAGGGATGACAAACTGGAATGGCAGAGCAGAAACAACATGGTGCCCACACAGTAGCACAGACAACAAGGAACCTTCCCTGAGTTTTTCTGCCTCTTTTATCTTATTCAGACTACTGAGATTAGGGTGGTGCCAAACTAATCACTCCCATGGAGTGGTTTAGTAATCACAATCCCTTAACCCCAGCGTCACACATTCCAGATTCAACTACTCCTGAAAAAGACAGTCCCACCTCATCTGCTTGAAGCTTTTTGGGGAAATCTAAACACAAACCATAACAGGAGCTTAGACTGTATTTGTAATGTTTAGCAAATATGAAGATGTTAATCATATGACTGTGTGTTTTGTATGGCTAAAATATTTCATTATTTCAAAAAGGAGGAGTCACTAACTAATTTGAGAACCGAGACTTTTTGGTTGTTGTTGTTAAATTCTTTTATTGGTACATTGTAGGTATACAACACAATTACATTTCTCATTGGGAATTGTACCTTTACATAATGCATCTTGGTTCTTATTTT